GATTTAGCTCAGCGGCAAAGCGCCTGCCTGGCAAGCGCAAGGTCGTGAGTTCGGTTCCTGGTACCGGAGAAAAACCAAAAAAAAAAAAAAAAGTGCTCCCAGAAGCGGACCAGGATGCTCATGTACCCGGGAAGTGGCCCCAAGGGCCTTGCTGGCTGTGGTCAAGGGAGGTGGCCACCACAGGGTGATCCATGAGGATAAAGCCCCACCGGACACCTCTGATGAGCACGTGGACCATGCCTCTCATGTCATCCTGAGACACAAGGGGCCAGGGCGTGTACCCAGCAGCTCCTGTGCGTACTTGGTCGTGAGCTTCCGGGAACCCTGCGTCCCAGCACACACGCTGTCTGTGCCTGGGCTGTGAGTCACCTGCAGCCAGAGAACCCCTCAGGCAGACAGTGCAGGGACACAGGGCAGGGAGCAGGGAGGTCCCAGAGGACACGTGCTGGACGGAATCACAAAGCACCCCGTTCAGTTCAAACACCCCACTGCTGGCCAGACTAACCACGAGAGGTTCCTTTCTGTCGAGAACTGAGCCTTGGGCCATTTTCTGCCTGCCAGGGCTCCGTGGAAAGGAATATCATCTTCCTGTCCCACAGTGGCTGGTGTCACGGCAGACCACAGCCGCACTCCAGTCACCCCACAGAGCACGGCCACACCGTCAGCCCACAGTGCACCTTCCTCTGACAGAGCAGCCTGCCTCTCTTCAGACACAGAAGGTCTGAGAGAGATTTCTCAGTGTCATACCAGCAGTGAGTTCCAAGAACAGCTTCCGACGTCCTTCTTGCACCTCTCTGCTCCAGCGCAAGTGGAGATATGGATGTCTTTGGGATGACATTGTGCGATAAGGTGTTGGAGCAGCTGGGTTATGGTTCTCATCCTTTAAAGCACAGGTTTGAATAATGCAGTTAATCCTGAATGTTATTAAAACATCAGATTAGCTTCTGTGACAGAGCAAGGTGACCTGCCCAGTCGTTCCTCAGAATCCTGAATGCAACGAACAAGAAAAGAAAAAGAAAGGAAGGAAGAAAGGAAGGAAGGAAGGAAGGAAGGAAGGAAGAGTGTTTACCACTGCAGCCACACAAGAGGTCTGTATCAAGGAAGCATCAGATTTACTTATTTATTTATGTCTGCCTGGCCCAGTCACAAGGAAAAAACCTAAGTGAGAAAAGGGAACAAAGGGAAAAACCAGAAGTAGCCAAGGGTAGGTGTCCAGACACAGTAAGAGTCAGGGGTCCCGCAGCTGCAGAAGGTCAGGATTCAGATCTGGACATCTTGGGGTCAAGGAGACAGGGAATGACATTCCTCGAGGAACGTCACCAACATCTGTGGGGATCCTTTGGGTTCTTGCTGTACCCCAGGAAGGAACGGCGGCAAGAATGAGGAAAAATAGACAAAAGACAAAAAGCTGGGATCGCGTGAAGGCCCTCTCTCTCAGCGGAGAAGGGGAACTGCCCAAGAACGGTAGAGCGTTTATTTATACCCTCAGGAGGTTGGTTAATTTTCACCTCACTGTCCAGCAATCAGTTAACAAGCTACAACGGCTTGTTTACGTGCCTTGAGGAGCTCCTGTGTTCTCGGAGCTCCCGTGTTCTCGGGCTGGCTTCGTCTGGACCTGCAATTACCTTCCGGCTTCCGCGGCTCCCGACAAACGTCGAGAAGAGAAGGGTGAGCCAAGGACGGGAGCAAAGCAACACGGAGCCTGGGCACAGCAACCCTGAGGCCGCCCAGGTCAGGCACCGTGGCCTAAAGCAAACGGTGTCTCTGCTTCCCAGGCCCGTGGCATGTGTGTGTAGTTTTAGAGGATGTAAAACAAAACTACATACTGCTCAGGAAGGTCTGCATTTAATGTACAAAGACGTGAGGGGACAGGAAGCAGTCCATGAACACAGGCACAACCTCCAGAGGGCGTGAGAGGCGTCCGGGGATCGGGATGGCAGCGGCGGTAACTGCACTTGCCGTCCAGGCCGGGTCGCACACACTGGAAGCTCCTGCTGTCCTCCCGGCTTTGCTGGGAGCCAGGGGCACTTCATTCCGACTATGAGCAGGCAGGAAGAGAGGCGCTGAGACCACGAGGAAGGACTTTCTGTCGCCCAGCAGAGAGGAAGGGAGAGTGGACCAAAGAGAAAAGAGTGCAGCTGTGAACGGAGTGGACAGACCCGAGACACGGGCGGGAGGCAAAGCCCACAGGGCCCGAAAAACTGGAGCTAACCAGGCGCTCGCACCAGGGACCGCACAGGTGGCAGGACGCGCAGTACTGGGTGACCTGGGGGGCAGTGGGGCGGCCGGAGCGCGTGGTGACTGCTGGTTCTCTCTGAATGTGAAGCTCCAGGCACTGCTGGCACCAAGGGTGGAGGGAGCAGAGGCAGAGTGTGTGAGGCCCACAGCGGGACACGCGTCTGAGGTGCTGGCTGCTGGGGGGCTCTGCGTGGAGAAGAAGCCAGGGGAGAAAGCCCAGGCCCACGAAGGACCTGTGAGAAACCAGGAAGCGGCTGCTGTCTCAGAACACGCAGAGTCTCCAAGGGGGAGACTGGGGGGGGCACATCGGCCTGGTCGGGTGAGGACAGATCCCTGAGCACCCAGCACCCCACGCAGAGCAAGGCCGTGTCTGGGGCAAGGAGCATGGCTGAGGCACTGAGGAGACCCGGTGGGGAAGGAGGTGACGGGTCCTTTGGGTTCAGAGAGCTCCGTGAGCTCTGCGTGACCGTGACAGAAGCGCAGGGAGCCCCTGGCCACCGAGTCGGGAAGTTTCTGCCAGCGGAGGAAGAGGAAGGGGCACGTGGACCAGGGCGGCCTCACGGAGAAGTGTGGGTGCAGGAGGGGGGAGCTTGCGGCAGGGCGGTCCCTGCGTGGGGGTGCCCACGAAGGAGCCCCGATGCCAACACTACGGGGCACAGGTGCCCGCGGGGTGCAGACTGCTGAGGTCACACCGTTTTTCTGTAATTTTCAGCTTTTGGGGTACAGAGAGTAATTGAACATTTGGTTTTAATCAGGCTGTTTCCCAGGCCAAGCGGAGGAGAGGGAGGAGAGGCTGGCTGGCAGGGGCACAAGTGCTGCACCGTTGGCGCCACCCCGGGGGACGGAGTGGAAAACGTGGCAGTGAGGGAGGTGACGGAGGGAACTAAAGAGCCGGCAGTCTTTAAAAGTTCAGTATCTCCTGCTGTGAACAGAGCAGGGTGGTGGGAGAAGGAACGGCTGCGGGACTTCTAAAGGGAGAATCAGGGCCACGTCACGGTGGACTCTGGGAGGGAAGGGCCCATCCAGAGTGAAGCAACAGCACCGCCCAGCTCACCCCTGTCTGTGCGCCGCGCCCATGACTGCAAACGCGCGCCTTCAAGATCCCGCTCACGCGCTCCGGTCTAGGGCGGAGGGGGCCTGGGGAGGAAGCTGGCGGGGAAACCGCTGTGCCTGAGGGGCCCGCAGACCCTGACTCCACACGGTGGCCGGGATGGCTACAGTAACCACTGGAGGGCGGGAAATAGCTCAAGGTACTAAGAAGGAAAATGGTCAGAGAACAGACAGCGAACTGGAAAAGGCATAGTGGGGAAAGAGCACAGGAACATGGGACAGTCTCCCGAGACCCGCAAGCAGATGGTAGGAGCAGGTCTGTGTTATTTGTGTAAATAATGCTGTAAATGGTAGCTAGGAGGAAGGAAGACTAAAGTGGTCAACAGAGCAGCTTGGAGTACCCTTCTGTCAAAGACGAAAACCAAGCAGGGCACACAGGCACCAGTCTGCAGAGCGGCACTCTGGGAGGTTGAGGCAGAAGGATCCCAAGTTTGAGCCCAGCCCAGGCAATTTCACAAGATCCTGTCTCTGAATTTTAAAAAGAGGAGGAGGCTAGATTTAGCTCAGTGCAAAGGTCATGGGTTCAATCCCCAGTCCCCCACTCCAAAAAAAGAAAAAGAAAATCAAATTGTAATGAACAACATTTTAAAGAGTCTGGAGATTAAGCAAAGCATACAACAAGTTTAAAAATACTGTATCCAGTTAAAATGACTCCAGAAGACACAGAAAGTCTTGATTAGACTTTTTAAAGTAGAGAGATTCAATCAGTAATCAAAAAATCAACCCATAAATGAAATTACTGGAGCAGATGGCTTTACTGGTTAATTCTACCAAAACATTTCACAGATTGGCATCAACCCAAAAACTGGGGAAATGCCAACAGAACTTATTGAAAAAGGACCTTGAAAAAGAAGGATAAAACTGATTAGCTTACAAGTTCCAATTTCAAACGTACTATACAACTACAATAACCAAGGAAGTTACAGATATGGGGAGAGCTGTGTGGACAGAACGGAACTTCTGAAAGTAAACCTTTCCGTTGAGGCCAACTGGTGTTTGTGAGGTGTGTCCTGTTTCGCTTCTTTTTCCCACCTGGGTAGGTCCATGTCCCTCACTGCCCTGTGCGTGCCTCCAGCAGCATGGGATAGAGGAGGCCTGAGCACACTTCCCGGTCTCAGCCACCCTTAGAAAGAAGCGCCCCGCCTTTCCCCAGCCAGCGCTGGGCAGGCTTTCAGAGATCAGGGCAGGACAGTCCTTCCTCTTCCTGTTCTGGTGAATGCATTTTCTGTTGTGGAAACAGAGTTGGATTTTGCCAGTTACTTTTCTGCAGCTGTTGAGACGATCATGTGTTGTTTGCCAGTGGTCTGTTCGTGTGGCACATCGTGCTGACCGATTCCCAGATGTTAAACCCCTGGCTCTGCTGGATAAGCTGTTTCAAAGTTCCTGGCTTCAGTTTGCTGGTGTTTTGTACGGGATTCTCGTGTCTATATTCATAAGCAGTGCTGACGTGCAGCTTTGTTGTAATGTCTTTGTGTGGCTTTATGCGGTAATATTGGCCTCACAGAGAGGTTACAAAGGGTCCAACCCACCTGTAAAATGGAAGAAATATTTTATGGTTGGCATTCTGAGGGTATGAAGTGGTACTTTGTTGTGATTTTATATTTCCTGATAATATACATCTTTAGCAGAAGATGTTTAACACCTTTTCATATGTTTATTGGCCAATCATCTATCTCCTTTGGTGCAATATGGATTCAAATACCTGCCTATTTTAATTGAGTAATTGCAAAGTAATCAGCAATGATGTAGGTGAACTGGACATAAAATAGTGTGGCCACTTTGGGGAAAAGATGGGCAATTTCTTAAAAAGCTAAACATACAGCCTAGCAACTCTGCACAAAAGTGATAAAAACCTGTGTCTACAAAAATACTTATAAGTAAATATTTAGAATAGCCAAAAAGTGGAAACAAACCAATTATTCACCAGGTGACAAATGCAGAAACAAGAGGTGGTGCAGTGGATCAGTTCACAAGGACGCTCTTCAGTGATCAAGAAGAAACAAACCGGTAAAGACAGGTGGGCGATCACAAGAGCTCTGTGCCCAGGGAAGCCCACATTAATGTTCCTTTTCTGACATGTCCAGAAAGGCACACCGACAGAGACAGGAAGCCGGCAGGAGGCATCTGTGACTGGGCTCAAGGGGTCACCAGGGCTGGTTATGGAACCAAGTCAAGTTCTTCACCTGGGACAAAACAATGATCGCACAACTTGAACATTAGGTAAACACCACGTATGCACCTGGAGAGGGTAAGTTTTAAAATCACGTCAAATAATTTTAAAAGATAAATGTAAATTCACCATATAAGTAAAGGAGATTCTCAGACCCAGTTTTAAACATCCAACTCTGTGTCATGTTGTTTAAGATGGCATGCATAGGGGCTGGGGATTTAGCTCAGCGGCAAAGCGCCTGCCTGGCAAGCGCAAGGTCGTGAGTTCAGTTCCCAGTACCAGAGAAAAACCAAAAAAAAAGAAAAGATGGCATGCATAAAATGATTTCTAATATTTGCTGAGCATACTCTTTGTCCTCTGCTTTAGTCCCCCTGACAAGCGTAAGAAATTCTGCTATTATTATTCTCTTTTAATAGAAGAAAAACCAGAGAGATTGAGTAACCTGCTCAAGGCTTCAGAGCTAGGTGGTCATTAGATGGCTGCTCTTGGGTAGAAATGTTTAAAATACAGGAACATAGATGATAATCTAAGAATAGTATAGAAAAAATAAAATGTAGGCCAGGTGTGGTGGCACATGCCTGTAATCCCAGCACTCAGGAGGCTGAGGCAGGAGGATCACTGTGAGTGTGAGACCAGCCTGGGCTACAAAGTGAGCTCAGCAGGCCAGGTGGAACTGCATAGCGAGACCCTGTCTCAAAGAGCAAAAATAAATAAATAAATAAATAAATAAATAAATAAAAATAAAAAATAAAATGTGTGTTGATACAGAACAAATAAGTTCCAGGCAAAAGATATTAAACAAGAACATTTCATGTTGGTGAAACGTCCAAACTGCTAATGGATAGGACAGACCTTTACACTCACAATAGTAAAAACTACTCAAGAGACACTCAGCAAAATGCTTCTTCAGCCAGGCATGGTGGTGCACGTCTATAATCTGAGCACTCAGGAGGCTGAAGCAAGAGGATCATTGCGAGTTCGACACCAGCCTGGACTACAAAGTGAGCTCAAGGCCAGCCTGAACTGCGTAGTGAGACCCTGTCTCAAAAAGACCAAAAAAACAAAAAAAGATGCTTCTTGCCTTGAGGTTTATAGCAGCCAAAGAAGTGGAAGCAATCTCCCATTCCCATGAAAATGGGGCAATTAATAGGGCAGGAGTGCCCACGCCACGGAGTACTACGCAGCCTGGAGGAGGATGAAGTTGACCTCTGCATGCTGCCACAGATGTCTGAAACACACTGGTCAGTGAGAAGCTCGAAGGTAAGAGTGTGGTGTTTCATGTGCACCCACAGTGTGGCCGTGTAAATTCACTGTTGTAAGAATGTCCACAGAAGGAGGGTGCCGGGGGCAGTTCACCCAAGTCTACACTGCCTGCTTCTGGCAGGGCGCTCAGGGCTGCAGGGGTCCTCCCACCACTTCACCTGGAGAATATATCTAGACTTAGGTTGTATAATAAAAGCAAAATTATAAAAATCACATGAAGCGTTCAGGTGGAGGACAGAGATTTCCTACAAGACAACCTCCAGGACCCAAACTTCTGGACCCTAACTTCTGGACCCAAACTTGCAGACCCAAAAATTCCGGCTCCTTGACTCCTGCTGGACTGACCTAGTGTGCATCACAGCGAAGACACCTTCCTTCTGTCACTGTCCCGCGTGGCCTCCACTGCCGCATTCCCTGGTGCCTTTGGATCGGACTCTGCAGCCTCCTGACTGCAGAAGCCCTGGCTGGTGTTCAGCCTGAACAGGAGACATGCAGCTGCTGGCCTGCTCGAAGGGAGGGAGGTGGGCTCGGGGCTCTGCGCAGCTGCCTGCCTCGGAGCCTGCTGAGCCCCATGGTCACCTGTGTCCACGGCTCCAGCCCCTCCGCCCTCTCTCCTGTGGGGCTGGCTCTGGCCCTGAGGCCTTGTGCATTCCTTACTGCTTCCGCCTATGTCTGCAGAGCCCTGCATGGAAACCAGGCATGGAGGTCAGTGCCCGTCTGGCTTCCAGTCACCTCACCCGTTGCTGGGGTCCCCACTGGGACAAGCATCCTTCATCATCCAGAGGCCAGTGTGTGGGCTCACAGGGGACAGAGCACGTGCGCTTTCCGGGCATTTTATGGACGCTGCAGTTGGGACAACAGCAGCACCCGCCCGTAACGAACCCGCTCAGTGTCAGTGTCTGACTCCAGCTTCTCCCCAGGGGAAACGCACAGTCCAGCACATTGTGTGAGGTGGGAGGAGGGCCCAGCGCAGGGAGGGGCAGGAAACCAGCCACAGAATGTCACCAGACAGGCTCAGACCGGGCTCCCCAAAGCGGAAGTGGAGAACTGCAACTCACCCCTCCCGGGAATGCACGGTGGTTTCACTGACACCGGTCACAGAGAAGGAATTCTCATGACGCATCAGCAAGAGGATAAGAAGGCTGATTGGGAGTGCAGCACAAACAGGAGGTGGATGGTGCATCCTCGGGAAGGGGCCGCGAGGCGCTGGGAGGCGGGGAAGGTGAGGAGTGAGAAAGGAGCGGAGACTGGTGTCCGCACACCACTCCCACAGCGAGCGGATCCCTCACGCACTGCAAAGGTGCGCTGACAGCTCAGAGAGAATAGCGTGTGGGCCACAGAGACATCATGGCCAGGGCTTGGGGCTTCTCAGTGGCCGTGGGGGTGGCCTCAGGATGAGTCATCTCGGATGTGTGTTTTTATGAGGTTTGATTGAAGAGTGTGCATAAATTATTACAGTAAAAGACACACTGCCATTAATTCCCATCAGGATCCATGCGTGGCTTCACACACATTTGTCCCATGGTCCCCACCGCTTTCTGCAGCAGCTCTGCAGCCCTCTTTCCTGAGGGTCTTTAGTTGCACGGTCCTGGCTCTTCGATGTCCTGAATCAATTCAAAACACTGAGCTTGCATGGTCATGTGACTTTGGGGAGGAGCTGGAAGTCACGTGGTGCCCCGTCTGGTGACTGAGGTGGGTGAGGACATAGCAGTGTGTTTCTGTGAGCTGCCTTTCTGCTTGGTGCGCTCATGGTGATTTTGATCACACCTCATACAGACACCCATGAAAGATAAGTGTGAAGGGAGGGAAGAATTTCGAGGGGGATTCGTGGCAATGTGTCTTTTGTGGTAATAAATTTTTAAAATGTAAGTATTCGCTGTTTTTCGGTTACCTCTTGCAGCCTGTCAGGTCACCCCTCTGCGGCCTGTCACACGGCAAACCCCTGCGTGTGTCTGCGGCTGAGCGGCCGGCTGCGGGAGGAGGCGGAGACAGAGAAAACACGCAGGCCCTGCTTCTCTCTCATCCTCCAGACCTGTAGGGGTTTTTGGCTTTGGGTTTTTTTTTTTTTAGTTTCCTGGAAAGGAACGGGGCTTGAGTGACTTTTGTGTCCTGAAGCTACAGTCTTTCACAATTTTCCTTGGAGGTACAATTTTAAAATTACTACTTTCCTGCTCTCCTTTCTACTTGCCTTTGTTTCTCTGTGTGAGCTCAGGAAGTCACCAGCACCCTAGTCCAGGGCTCAGCCGCCCCGCCTCGGGTTTTTATTGAAGATACACCTACGGATAGGATGAAGGGTTCTCCAGGGGCTCTGCTGACGGGCGGCTGACAACAGGTAGCTGAACTCCGGCAGGCAAGGGGGAGATGGGGTGGAGAAAAGCAGGCCCAGAGGGGCCTCACACAAATAGTAAGTGGGGTCCGTGGCTGGTCAGACACAAGACGGAAGATGAAGGACCTGAATGTTTCGATGACGTTTTTACTTGGGCCACAGGGGAAGTAGGGGATGGTGTCCTTGGCCAAGATACAGACTCAAGAGGAGGAGAAGCGGGTGTCAGGAAGAAGGGGGTGGAGATGCAGGGCCTCATGCCTGGTGGACCCGCCGCATAGGCTCTGCTGCAGAGGACCGAGTGGAGACACTGGCCGAGTCCTGGGGTCTGGAGCAAGGGGAGAAGAACCCCAGGCACCAGCAGGAGCTGTGGTGCAGAGCGGAGCACAGAGTGCCCCAGAGCA